TACTATCGGTACATTACAGTCTCGGAAGGGTATTTTTCGGGGCATGCACGTAGTAGTAGCGGCGGGGCCTGGAATACTGCTGACAAACAGCCCAGGTTGAGATTTCATGTCACAAATAGGCCTTGCATGTGCAGGCAGCAATGAAGCAAGTAGACAAATTAAGTAAAAGTAATGCTTAATTTTATTGTTTCTACCGAAATTTCTATTTTTTCGGATCTGACTCACTGACTCATTGACTCATTGACTCATTGACTCATTGACTCATTGACTCATTGACTCATGACTCATTGACTCGTTTGACTCATAAAACATCCGTTCTCGAAAACTAAAGGATAGCTAACACTTTTTGTCCTTCAAACGTTTCACATCTACTTGTAACTGTGAGAGGATTGTGAAAATCACCTTTGAGGGAATTCAGGCAAATCGATCGCTCGTCGTGTACTGTTTCTCCGGGACTAAATTTCAGCACATCGATTCATTATAATAATTTCTTTATTTCGAACATGAATCTCGTTTGCGGACTCAATTCCAGAATGGTCTGATAAAAACTAAGCTAATCGAGAACGAATGTCGCCTATCTCGGCGCTTAAAATCCTCCTTCTTGTAAACAGCTTTAAGGAGATTCTACACGAAACGATTCGCAGCGACGATTTTTAGCGCAACACAGTGTAGCAACTTTAAAACAATGTTGCCACCATTCGAAACAATGTCGCAACAATGTTGAAATGATGTGTTGCGCTAAAAATCGTCGTCGCAAATCGTCCCGTGTAACATCACCTTTATCCAGCTTTCTGTTGATATTAATGAGCCCTTCGCGATAAAGTGTTGGGCGACGACCCAAACGAAAGCTCTGTTGTATATTTATTGACTTCTGATGATAAATACACTGTCTGTGGAACAAAAATCACGCCAAATCAACTTCTTTGCGGGAAATATTTAGCGACGTTTCTTCTTTGTGGAGGAGACTTTCGATCACGCGCTAGGTAACGAAAAAGATCTAGTTTTACCGTTATGAAGATATAGGACGAACCTTCGAGACTTCAGACACCGCCGTACGATGATACTCAAGGTATGTGAAAACGGGCGAAAATCGTGGAAAGGGAACTCAACAACGTGTGAATGAATTTTTCACCAACTTGCCGCCAAAAACCTGAACGTCAATGCAGTACAATGATCTATTGCCAGCGTAATTCGATATTCCATAGGCAAAAAAAAAAATTATAGTATTCATTATTTGACCGGCCAAAATCGGGGTTCTGGTGTCCGGGCTAACAAACATTTGGCCAGTCATCGTGACCGGCGACCTGCTGTCCGTTATTTTGAGCCCTGGAAATGAACAGAAAGGTGTTCTTATAGCACGTATCCCTTCCCTCTCTCCCCAATCCCCTCCCTTTTCTCCCTACCTCCCAATCCCCAAGCCCGTGCGACGCCTGCGCCATGCTACACCAGCTAAACATAGAACTGACCACTGAAATCGATCAAGAACGAGGAAAACTAATAATATCACTATGAAATTTTATGGAGAGCTTCACCAGTATTTATGCCTAGTGTAATTATCTTATTCACTACAAAGAGTGTGGATCTTATTCTATATATGGGACAAAAAAGTAAGCCTATATATGTATATGTTGCAGTTAATGTTCTTTATTTCAGTTAACTGTTGTTTTTCCTTTGTTTTAAATTCATTAGCATACATTACCATACCCAAAAACAATGGAAAAATGAAAATAAACTGAAAAAAATTAACTACAACCAGTTTCTGCTACAACATATATAAAATCTATATTAAAACCTTAAAACTTGTGATTTTACCACTGATGAATGCACTTTACCGATTCACGCAGCTCACAGACTCTGTGGCCACTTTCATCTCTTTTCAGTACGACAGCTCTTGCCTGCATCTTTTAATTCATACAGGATTTTTGGGCTGGGTAATTCAGATGAATCAACTACAGATACATATCAACACGACCAGACCTCACCGCCATATTGGATCATGGTAGGTACTTCATGTATGGAGACATATATTGTACCGACTTAACCCATTTCACTTGATTGCTTACTGTTTCCACCTTTTTAGACCGTACTCTTATTTTACGGTGGCCCATAAAGGACATGAAACCCCAGCTATTTATTTTGGGAAATTTGAATGGTAAAACTTATTATTTCACGTTTGGGGTTTTATTTTCAGACCTATCATTTTTTCCTTTGTTAAAGCCCAAGTTTTTCTTTTAAATTTTATTTTAAAACATTTTTTAAAACTCAGATTTTTTCAAAACTCACGGTTTTTTTTAAAACTCAGATTTTTTCATCACTCAGGGTTTTTTTAAAAAAAACTCAGATGTTTTCAAAACTCAGGGTGTTTTTTTTCAAAACTCAGATTTTTTTTCAAACTCGGTTTTTTTTTTTGAAAACCAAGTTTTTTATCGTCTTGAACAATGCTCATGTCATATAACTGCCTACCACAATTGCTGGCTCAAAGAAAATGAGCAAAATGGCGTTGATGATCAAAATGGTTTTTATCTGTTTTATGCTTCATGTCCCTTTAGATAGTAATTATTAAGTCAGTTATTGCTTTTGGCCGAGTCTCTCTTAGCTCTATTAGTTGGGAACGCCCCCTCACTGGTAGCTGGAGAAATGACACATTAATCAGTCACATTAAGAATAAAACTATTTATTTCTTTCAGAAATAAATTTTATTTTTGTTTCATTTTATTCCTGTCATGTGGAACGAGCATAATGACTTCGTACTTTCCTGTGACATCAGGGAATTCTGAACGTAATTCTTTGATTGAATGTTACTTCAATACTTCAAACCTGGAGTACTAAGAAATCCTACGCTTCCTCTTCTCGTACACGGGAATGGGAATGGGCACAAACGGGACTCATAGGTCCCATGCAAGGTGCCATCCCTACCCAATCCCACAACCCGTCAAGAGAGGTTGGCCACCCCACTGGGGTCTACGTCGCCTACTCTTTTCGAACATTGGTGTGGGTTCTTTTACGCGTCCCACACATGAACAGATCAGTGAAAGTGCGGTTTTTCGTCCTTATCCAAGAAGACTAGAAAGTCTAACCATTTGCAGATGTCATGACAAAGGCAGCACTTTCTTCTCAGTTATTTACAGATCCTGAGTGTTGGTCCGGCCGGGGTTTGAACCCGCGACCTCCCACTCGGCAGACTGGCACTCTCCCAACTGAGCTTACCAGGCGGCGGTTAATCAATCAACATTGAAGTAACATTCAATCGAAGAATTACGGTTACAATTCCCTGATGTCACAGGAATGTACTGGGACATTATGTTCGTTCCACGTGAAAGGCACAAAATGAAACAGAAAACAGATAAAACCATTTTGATCATCAATGCCATTTTGTCATTTTCTTTGAGCCAGCAATCGTGATCAGCAGGTATATAACATGCGCATTATTCATGACAATAAAAAACTGGGTTTTGGAAAAAACCTCTGAGTTTGAAAAAAACCCCCTGAGTTTTGAAAAACGTCTGGGTTTTTGAAAAAACCTGAGATTTGAAAAAAACAATCTGAGTTTAAAAAAAACATGAGTTTTGAAAAAAATCTGGGTTTTTTTAAAAAAAACTTGAGTTTTGAAAAAAAAATCTGAGTTTTAAAAAAGACATGAGTTTTGAAAAAAAACCCTGAGTTTTGAAAAATCTGAGTTCTTAAAAAACTTGAGCTTTTACAAAGAAAAAATTATAGGTCTGAAAATAAGACCCCAAACCTAAAAATAATACGTTTTACCATCCAAATTTCCCAAAATAAATAGCTGGGTTTTTATGTCCCTTATGGGCCACCGTACTACTTATTACTGTGTTTTGTAACTTACTCGTATTTTTGGACCATTTGAATGTCAACTGTACAGCTAGTCTCCCTCGCGCAGCGGCTCGGGCAGGAGTCACACAAGCTACCCGCAGGGAGCTTGCGTGACTCCGGCCCGTGCGGCTGCGAAGGAGATCACTGTACAAGAAACATTGCAGTTGTAAATCAATCTCTTTGGGAAGGGTGGCCTGCGAAAACATCCGTTTCTCCTCGCTCTTCGCCACTGTGGACGTTTCGCGCGGAGGAACGTGATGTTCCTCCGCGCGAAACGTCCCCGGCTACGAGGAGCGGGGAGAAACGGATGTTTTCGCAGGCTATGGGAAGGGTAACAGATGCGTGCTTGGTCTTTGTAAAATTGATTTGTTTGCCATACGCTGATTGGCTGCCGCCCAGAGTCTTAATTAAAGCTGAGACAAAAGAAAATTGATCGATACTCAAAACCGAAAAATGGCACTATTTTCAAGGGAAAACAAAAACTAACCAACACACAATTGACAGAAACCCTCATTAAATCGCTTTCCTTTTCGTAGTTCAGCGCCGAATCAGATGATTTGTTTCTAGTGGAGCTGGGCATTTACTCAGGTTCCATGTAAACGGATACACATCGTCCTCGTGTGAACGGTAATGAAATGAGACTGGTGTGACCATAGCCTATTGCAGTTGAAGAGCGAACGAAGCCACAGAGTACTATGCACGATAGCCTCCGTAGCAAGCGTTTCCATGCGGTTTCGGAGCAATGAACGAGGAACAAGAGTCAAAGACCGTGCGAAAAATGGCGCATTTTTTACTCTTGTTCCATTTCTCTCTCCGTCAAAGCCAAAAATCCCTTACCTCTGTCTTTCTTTGCTCCGAAACCAAATGGAAACGCTTGTTACGCAGGCTATGTGCACGATAAAGGGTACCGAGTCTATGCTTTTCTGTTATACACGAAATACAAACGAAAGCAATTGTGAACTTTTTGTTTTACTCACTGCAATTGTAACTCTACTAGCTATACTCACTATACAGCATGGCATTATACTACCGCAGCATCTTCTACAAAAACATAAAAAACTGAACGAGAAACGATCTAACTACTCTAAATCCCGCGATTGTCTTTCCATGGAGACAATAACTCTTGCAAACAAAGCTGGCGTTTCTTATAGATATAAGCTTCTTGGGAGTTAACCGCGACGTTGAACATGATTAAGCTCACGGGCCAGCTGACAGAGAACACAAAGTGGACAACACTCAACCGCACAATAATCGTCAAAAAGGGTGCCCTGCAAGTGGATGAAATGAAGTCAGTCATGGGTGAATTATCCTGTTTTTGGTATTAAAATAATGATTATATGAAAATCATATACAGGAAATGTGGGGTGAAGAATTAAATGAAAGACCATCACGGCAGTTGTAGACGCAACTATTTGGTATTGTTTCTTTATTCTCTTATAGAGAACTCTGGCCGTTGATACAAAAAATAGTGAAAAACTTAATAATTAGTTTTTTGTCTCTTCACGAAAATTGGCTCTCAATACCTCCTTTCAAAGTGAAAGGTTCTTTTTAAGTCTAAAGGTGTGGTCAAGGCGATAATTAACAAATATATTAAAGAAAAGTTATAATGCCACAATTTTGCAGTAGTGGCTAAATCAGACTGCTCCCGTAATGTAATAATCACATATTAAGATTCGAGAACACACTTCACTAGAGCGCCTTAAAGCCTCAAACATAAAATTTAGGGCTTAATAAGTTGGTTTCTCAGGTTTGCACAGTGCTTTACAAGTGGGTGCTGTGAAAAAGGTTTTCTGCAGTGTTATTTAAATGTTCTTTTACTGTTTTGATGGATTGGTTATTTTCATATTTCATTCAATTCATTTTGGTGGCATCTTTTTATTAAATGGTTTTATTTAATTTTCATAGATGTGGGACAAAGCTCCTTAAAGCAAACTCGTCCCCTAGAAAGAGGTTGTTCTTTAAGCTCTTGAAACCTCTCGAATACCTGAATATTCTCCTGCACCCTCAGCTTGATCCTGAGTCCCAACAGTGCACCTGGGCAACAGCAAGGAAAGCAACATCCTTCACCCATCCTGGACGAAACATCAGTCAGCAGGAAGAAAGGACAGAAAAGGCCCATACACACTTGAAACACAAACAAAATAAAATAAACGTGGTTGAGTTAGCTCAGGTAAGAGCGTTTGTTTGCAGAGCAGGAAGTCGCGGATTCGATTTCCGGATCTGGACCAATACTTGGGGTCTTAAGAAAACTGAGGAAGAAGGTATTGTCTATGGTTTGGAAACGGATAAACCGCTTCACGTGACAAGGATATAACCAAGTAAAAATGGCGGAGCCGTATCTATTAGGATACGTGACTGAATACGGTCGACCGACTGAATACTGCCCTCAATGAGTACATTCGAGCAAGAAATACTAACGCTTGATAAATAAAGTTATAACTATTCTCAATCGTGTAAAAGCCGCCGCTTCACGATTTAATCAACTAGATTACTGCGTGCTCCCTTGTAAAGCAGTCTATTAGTCCTTTACGGTACCCAGGGAAATTCCCTAGGCCTTTTATATGCTCTAGCAAACAAATTCGCCGTCTTCTCGAAAGTCTAATCTACAACGGACAAGCAAGTTTCCCTACCCTCCTCCTCTTCAGCGACGCTGGCAAATTTTCTCTATCAGCTCTCCCTATGCCTTATGCAAAATTTTTTACCCATAACTTATCCATCAAAAGGCATAGGGTGGCTTTTACGCGAAGGTGAATTAGTTACTATTATTAACGCCACATTAACTCATTTGAGTGCCGCTTAAAGAATACTTACGAGAGCTACAGTCCTCAAAGCAACCACACAATCCAGAGCTCCAATTCCGTTGTCCCTGTTTCAACACTACTTGTTGTTGACTCAACACTACAGTGGTGTTGCTAGTCTGTTGTGCATACGGTGCCGGTTGTTGAGTTACCACTGGATACTGACCCGGGGGGTACGCCGGTGGATACATCGCTTGCCCTGGGGAATACGGCTGAGCCATGGGTGGTGCAGTGGGTGGGGGATCCATTATTTAGGCCCTGAAAGGAAAAGTTATTTTAAAACAAAAATCAACGCGTCCCGATATAAAAGAAACTTGACGTTTCGATGGCTTCATGTCATCGTTAGGGAGTACTTGATCTTTATAGGAAAAACATTATAACACATGTATTTCACATAAACTAAACTTTATTATGATGTCATTATTTGGGAAGATCGGAATAAATAGCACGTGACAATGACGTCACAATAGTTTTAGCTTTAAATCGAATTTCTGCCTTTAACGGCATTTTCTTTCGAAATGCTTTACGCTACGTATACTTTGGGTGCTTGTCTTCTGTTGTAAGAAGTTTCACAAAAATCTATACGAGGACTTTCGAGATATCTTTGAATTTGGATGTTACTAAAACGGGGAACGGGGAGCGGGGAGCGGGGAACGGAAGTCTGGGAACGAGTTGTCAGCGGAAACCTCCATAAAAATCCAATATGGCCGATGATCGATGATAGAGAACCGTGGAAACAAACTTAACCGATAACGGCGTTATTTTACTTGAACTATATGCTCATGAGGTGCTTGAAATAATACGGAGGTAATAACTTCATGACGTTTTTCACCTTTTTGCGTTTTACTAAACAATTATCCCTAGGAAACAAAATATGCTCCAACAGCAGTTGAAATTAATTAAAAAGAAGCCAATCGGGACAACTCAAAGAACAGCCATATTTGGAACTCAAGCGAATCTATACTGAGTCTAGCCCACAAAGCAATGAACTACTTTTCCATGATAGATAACATACATCGAAGTAGTCAAGTAGCTTGTGTGCAGACTTCTTCTATTTCCTTTGATAGAGATGACTGCTTTGAAAAATGTTATTGACCACGTCATCACATAATTAGTAAGACTACTTTAACAATCTGGTTCTGCTTTTAATATTATTAGATCTACTACACTGCAAGCATTTACGATATTGAAGTGTTTCACTGATCCATGAAAATAAAATAATATCATTTTATTATTTTGTGAAACAATTTGTTTCAGGTCAGTTTGCCCAGTGTAGACCAGTATAATGACCCTAATGGAACCTAATTCACTCATTTTCCTCACCCTAATCAGTAACCGCTTCAAAGTCGTACAGTGGCCATTTGTCTCTCTGTGAAATACCCCTGACGACCCTTTCCTGAATAAAAACCATTGGATTGCATTGAATGCAACATTCTCACTCACTGCAGATCCTCAATTAACCCCCCGCCCCCCTAAGAATGAGATCCCAAACCCCTCCCTTTTGAAGAAAAATGTCGTAAAATAATCAAAGTACCTCTTCATGGACACGAAACGTTTGGTGCAATTCATACCATACAATATTGCTGTATCAAGTACTGTTCTCGGTGCAGGAGGAGGGGGTACTATAATGGCCTAAACAGAGCCTGAAGCCTTTTTCAGGCTTCAGGTACATGAAAGGGAAGGGGTTTTTATAGTTGAAGTATATGAAAGGGACCAAAATGAGATCAGTCACAGATGCATTTTATGGATGTGAGAGACAAGAAAACCTGTTTTAGCTATTTATTCATATTGTAAAGATGGTGTATTTACAGCAGTTAAAAAGGGATGCAGCGTTCAAAATTAGGTATGTGAAAGGGGTACCATTTGTCACTAGAGGGTAAACAAAAGGGGTACGTTTTCTGTCTAAAATGGTACATACAAAGGGTAAAGGGTTGGTCCCTGGGGCAGAGCCTCTTTGGTGAGTACCCCCCCCCTCCCCCTCTGGGTTACTGTTACTCTAGTCTGATTCTTCTCTTTAATTTCTTCTATACTGTGCTTCATTAAATGAATTAAAAACCCCGATATGTTAAAAGAAATTATGTCCCCTGGAGGGGAAATAAAATCAGGGAAAATGGTTAGCAAGATTTATTGTGTTATTTTACATGCATTGAGTAAGCGTAATGTGGCCACTATACACATACAGTTGTGCATGTTTACTGAAAAACATATCGGCACTCCAATCTTTTGCCTCCATCACTTGTGTGAGACCTTAGACTCTTTATTTCCAAAACTACAGACAGCTTGCTTGAAGACTTATCAACCGCCTTCTAATAAGCTGCCAACCTCTGCAACATTGATGATGTGATGCTTGATGGTAGGTGCACTGCAATATTACTGAGTCAAGCTAATAAAGCAGCTTGACAATATTAACTGGTTTAAGTCACTGATATTCAGTTTTACACTGAACTTGAAATATTTTTCTCCACAGTAAAAGTAATGTTCATTAAAGAGAAGCAGAGCTCCCCGCTGCAAAAACATTAAAGGAGTCCCCCTAGAAAAAAAAAAAGCATCCAGAGGGCTGAACAGAGGAAGTATACTTACCATGCATATTTTAACAGCTAGCCTTTAGAAAGTACCTTCCAACCAAAGACTTTAAAGTACTTCCCCCACGTATACTTGCAACACTTATTATTGCAGCTCAGTTGTGGTTCACTTTTATCCTAAGTTTGAATTTTATTCTCTTTGTTTGGAACTCGTAATCATAAAATTCATATTACCATACCCCAAACAAAGGGAAGCAAAATTTAAACCTAGGTTATAATAAAATAAAACCACAGCATAGCCATTTGCTTTGAAACAACTGACATCTTTAAGACCAAGGTATGATTGATGTTCCTGGCACACTGCCCGTTAATATGTTTAAAGTTGCCTTTTATTGATGTATTTAATAAGCTGATCCATCTTATCTTTTCAAATAGTACAATTGCACTTACTTCTCATCATAGGTTTGTAAATATAATATTATTAGACTTACAGTTTTATCTCATCGCCAACATGTTTTAATTTGGGCTTGAAAAAACGCTACAGCTAGGAAGGAGCTCCACTGCTACACTATTACTGTCGAGGAAATACACCTGGATGCTTCGATCTACGTTATCTTTCACCATGTATTTAAGCCAAAACCCTACGAAAAGCGTCAAGCAAAAGTAATTCATTGCTTTGTGAGTTAGACCCAGTATAGATTCGCTTGAGTTCCAAATATGGCTGTGCTTTGAGAGTCTTTGTCCCGACTGTAGCTTCTTTCAACTGCTGTTGGAGCATATTTTGTTGTTTAGTAGAACGCAAAAAGGTGAGAAATGTCATGACATTATTACCTCCGTATTATTTCAAGCACCTCATGAGCATATAGTTCATTAGTAAAATAGCGACCTTAAGTGTTGTTTCGACGCTTCTCTATCGGTCGTCACTTGATTCCATCTACCAAACTGACATCCTCCTCTCACAAGACATTTCACTTGTCTTATATGAAATTTCTTGATGAAATGTTCATAAAAGTCAAAGTGTCTTCAATTTTTAAGGGAAAAAAAACAATTTAGGATACAATGAGCAGGGTTCGAACTCGGAGCATCCGATCTGGAGTGCATCACTCTAACCCCTACACCATCGAGGATTTGGTGACAAATGCCAGTTTGATTTAAATATATAACCCTAACCCTAACCCTAACCCTAACCTAAACCCTAACCCTAACCCTACTTTGTGTACGAATCATTAATGTGTCAACGTCAGTTTGGCGGATGGAAATAAGTGTTGACCTTCTCTATCATCGATCTTACCGGGTTCTTAACCCTTACCGGCCATATTGGATTTTTATGGAGGTTTCCGCTGACAACTCGTTCCCAGACTTCCGTTCCCCGTTCCCCGCTCCCCGCTCCCGGTTCCCCGTTTTAGTAACATCCCTTTGAATTTCTAGTAAAAGGTATAAATTATGTATGAAATGAAGGCTGGATTTAGTGCAAACAAATTTGCTACCTTTTGGATGCTTCCGAAAAGTTTTTATCACTCATTCGTTTTGCACATGACCTTCTACAACCGACTAAACGTAAGTAGACTTGCGCGATTTCGATCAAACATGACAACATGCGAATCAGTCAAACGCATTGCTGAGCTCTTTTTGTAATTTCTAGGGCTACTTTCACGAAAACAGCGATTAAACCAAAATTCGTCGATAGATTTTCTTTAAAAACTTTCAGTGCTGCAATTGATCAGTGTACTATAAAATCCGTGTCCATTGAAAAGTTTTTAAGTTGTCTAACGTAGGCGCAAAGTTGATAGCCTGCGTAGCAGGCGTCGAAAGGGGTAGGGGATAGGGAGCGAAGGGGAAAAGGAGGGCCGGGGATTAGGGAGAGAGGGTAAGGGCGAGGTGCTCGCTTAGATATTCTTCCCGACACTGTTCTTTTTCTAATTGTTTGCGAAAAACAATTAGAAAACAACATATTTAGCATATACAGGGGCACCCGATGGATCTGTTCCTCAAAATATCTTTTCTTCAGACAAATTTTTTGCTGGCTGGGAGATCTGGAAAAATAATATGTCCTGGAAAGGAAAGTGTTGCTGGGAAATAGACCATTCAGGGTGTCTGAGCTAGCTCGACCTGATGATGACGAAGGGAGATTCTAGATTTGGCATCTAGAATAGCTGCTATTTTCTATTTTCAGAAGCCTCTTTCCCCTCCCCCCTACTGTAGGGGTGAATTTCGCCCTTAGCCCCCCCCCCACACCCACTGAGGAGCTGAATTTTGTCCTATGACCACACCCAAACTGGCCAGTAACGTCTGCACACACTTCTGCTGGGAAACTTCCCGGTAACTCAGGTTGCAGGTTGTAGGTGCACCTTGCTGGCTGGGAACTCTTCCATCAGTCTTGCTGGGAGTGAGGAAAAGATAAATTTTTACCAGCAAAGAAAGAAAGAAAGCTTTATTCATGCTTTGTAGTTGTTTTTAGGTCTTTTTCTCAAAATTTCCCGTTGGGTGCCCCTGCATATATTTTTTCCTCATCAGCATACTTGGCGTCAGTGCAAGAAAAGTGAAAGTTCTATTTACTTAAATCATAAAATACATTAAGTTAAAGAATTTGAAACAAAGATGGGTTCCTTTTAAACTTCTTTTCTTTTACATTTACTTCAGAAAAATTTACACCCTTATCTTATATAAGAATGTTGTTTTTCCGGTCCAGGCTGAATATTCTTCTTTTTCTGCCGATTTAAGGCTGA